AGAACCTGAACGGATGGGTGACTGGGAAAAGCATCCGTGCAAAGAAACAAGACCAAAAGAAAGAGTGCTACACTCGAAACCTATGAAAGATTTGTGCAGCTAGAAGACACGAACGAAAACAGGAAAATGGCAGATGAGTGGGAACCAAGAACACCCATCCAGAAGACCTCCTTTATGCGAGAAGCAACAAAACTACTTGAGGAGTTTGACCCACCCAAGAACAGAGAACCAATCACCAACATCAGCAGCGAACCTCCATATTGGCAGACACCAGAAATCACAATAAGGACGAGACTCCTAGACCTTTCTTGTGACAAGACCACACCAGAAGAAATCCTCAGAACTAGTGCCCTGGAGACAGTGGACTCGTATGCTGAAACTCCAATCCATGCATACACAGATGGGTCAGCAACAAAGGCTACACGGAATGCTGGATACGGATCTACCATGAAATATCGAAACAATCTTGGAGAGAAGAAGCAGACCCGACTATTTGGCCCATGTGGAACATACAGCTCTAACTATGACGCAGAGAGAATCGCCATAGTAAAGACCTTGGAACAGATAGCCCAAGACTTTTTTGAAGGCGCAGTAACACCAGGGGATGTTGTTGTCTTCTCTGACTCAATGTCAGTACTCCAAGCCGTCGAAGGAGGAGGAGACTACAGAGGTGACGGGAACATCCTCAGCCTTGTAAAACAGATGGGCACTTCCTATGGCGTCCGGGTCATACTGCAGTGGGTGCTTGGCCATTCTGGAGTACCAGGGAATGAGACTGCAAACCATCTATCGAAGACTGGAGCGAGCCTTCCCCAGACAGACACAACTGCCTCTTTACAGACCTGCAGAGGGATCATCCAAGCCAAAAGCAGAGACGAGTGGCTAAACAGATGGGCCAACGCAGAAACAGGAAGATCTCTCTTCGGGTACATGGACAAACCCAACCCCAATGACCCTTCGAATCTTTTATGTAGAGCCGATCAGACATTGATCTTCAAAGCCCGCACAGGACACTTACACACCAACAAGCACATAAACAGAATCAACCCCATGTGGGAACCCCATTGCAGACACTATGATTACCAACAGGAGACCGTTGAACATCTTCTTCACTGCCCAAACCTGGCAGTTCTTCCACGCAAGCTCCTACACACACCTACAGACTTACAAAGCCTGCTCTACTCTGGCATTGATCAGATGACAAGGACATGTGGTTACTTGAGGGACGTATTGCACTGCCAAGAGCGAAATGCTCGCAGCTAAAGGGATTTGAAAACAACAACAACATGTAGGCCTACTATGTGGACAAAAGTAAAAGTAAAAGTCGAAGGAGCGAAATTTGGCCTGTGCATTTAACATAAAGAGACAGCAGTAATATCCATTTGACAAAAAAAATCTGACGGACGCAACCAGACGATAAAAAAGAAGAAAGTTTGGAAACTTTTCATGTTTTTAAATTCACAGATTTTGGCACGAAAGACATCATTCAAGTAATTGATAGAGCTGTGCCCCGGTAGCAAACTCACTCGTGCTCACAAGCACGTAGTTCAAGTTACAAGCCTCAAATCACTCTAATCATCAAATCAAACCAACAGCAGGTTTCACTTGAGTCTAGCCTAAGCTTCAAGTCCACAACACTACTAGCAATCCGCGAAGCCACTTGTGTCTGACTCCCTCATTCTCCCCACACCCTGCTTGCTATTCGCGAAGCCACCTACGCCAGAAAGAGAGAGAGAGAGAGACCCTCGTGGCAGGCAAGCCTCAAATCCCGCTCGCAGCACAGCAAGCCCCTTGCGCCCCATAACTTGCTTTGTGCCCCATAACTTGCTTTGCGTTCCATGACTTGCTCGTAGCCGGGCAAGCCACTTGCGTCTCATGACTTGTTTTGTGCCCCATGACTTGCTTTGCGTTCCATGATTTGCTCGTAGACGGGCAAGCCACTTGCCCAGCAGCGAGCAGCAAGACCGCTCGCAGTGTGAACTCTGAACCGTGGAGGAAAGGAGAGGCTGTGCTTGTTTTTTTTTGGTGCAAGATGTATAGGGTAGAGGGTTATTGCCAAAGCTATTTTTAACTTCCCGATAAGTAGACTTTGATTATCTTAGAATGGAAAACTCCTTGGGTCGTTGTGATTAGTTTTTGTATCATATGTATTGTAGATATTTTACACTCCCAATGACATAATATAGAACATTTAGGAGACAAGCTACTTCAACCCAATGTCAGGGCCAATCTGGGCTGAAAGGGAACAACGCCCCAGCAGAAAGACGGAGGTTGTCAGTAAAAATTCTCCCCATACGGGAATCGAACTGAGGTTTTTAGCGGGCGACGACGAAGCGCTTGACACCGTGCACATGTTTTAAAAAAGCCTTTGTATCATAAGAATAGCTGATCCATTATTCATTTTAAGTGCATAGAATAGAGCAATTTTCTTTTTTTTAACATGACTACGGAAAAAAACCCAACAACCTTTCACCAGAGACAGATGCAAATAATCAGACTTTTCTGTAATAATATTATGTACAGAGCCCACAGCCACAAGAGTTCGCGACGTCACGACACAGTACAGCAAGACTGCAAGTCACAACTCACCGGAAGTTCCCCCCGGTAGCAAGCGGCAGACAAAGCAAAGCACAAGCCTGCTCGCAAGCCTCTGGCACAAGCCGTCTGCTGCTCGCAAGCATTCGATTTTTTAATCGAGCAGACTCCAGCTCTAATACTACTAATAGTTGATAATATGCTGAAACTTTACCATGGAGTACTTTCTTTGTCAAGCAAAGACCTCAATTTTAAATGGCTTATCAGAGTCTGCTGGATTGAGGATCCACCCCTGAAGGTCCTAGGGGTAGATGCTCAACATGAAATGACAATAACATCCAAGAGGCTAGCCCAGAATAGGGAAAGGCCGAAAGTGTTAGTTCGTGGCCTATACCCCAATCCAGGGTGAGAAAGGCAATAATGATGATGATGACTTTCTTTGTCTACCTTTCACGACTATACCCAGGATGAGGATAGGCTTCATAGTTCATAGCTCGAGATCCAAAGATAAAGCATTCGGTCCAAAGCAACAATGCAGAGCTGGTCGCGGGCAGTATTGCATACAGAGGTATCTCAAAGTCTGCCAAAAATGACTTACGTCTGTATGCAACACTGCCTGCGTGGTGGAACCTTAAGGCTTAGTGGCTACCAAAGGTACAGTGGAACTCGGATTCAACAAGCTCGGATTCATCGAGAACTCTTCGAACGAGATGAGATAGATTCCCCGTTTTTTTTCTTCTTTAACCAATAAAAATAACCCGGATTCAACAAGCACTTAAAATCAGTGAGCTTGGATTCCACGAGGTTGCTTCCAGGGTGAACAGCCCCCGCAGACGTGGCTTCGCTCATTTTTCTCTGGGAACGAACTTTATCTATTCCTGGAAACCATCCATTGCACCTGCATCAAGAACCATTATTCACTTATCCGATTTCATGCGACCAATCAGCGTACACATGCGTTGTTGGCATGCGCACGTGTCTACTCATGTGTGTCAGGGTCGGATGGGCGGCCTGCACACATGTGGCTGTGTGTGCGTGTCGGGGAGCGGGGGCACTAGCGGTTCGGGCATTGAACGTCGCAGATACAAACGCGTCAGTCTTTTTTACCTCCTCCGCAACTGATCATTAGTACAATGATAAGCTAGTCTTGACGTAGATCTACGTAATGAATTGTGCACTAGCACTAGCCTATGGAATCAAAAGTTGCTGTATGCTAGGCTCTACTCAGCAACACAACTTTTTGTTAAACAATCGAGATGACACAGGCTTGTGCATTTGAACGAATTGGTTTTTATTTTTTTACACAGCTCATAATATGCAGGCATTTCAGGCACTACTTGTGACTTCTCTTTATACACTACTTGCTCAGTGCATACATGTAATTATCTACACAATACCTCGTGCTTGCTATAACGAACACTCAGATTCAATGAGATTTTAGCTCAGGCCCGGTGACCTCGTTGAGTCCGAGTTCCACTGTATAACCACTGCAAGACTGCATAGCTACAAAATTTGCTCTGCCTGCCTTCTCATCTTGAACACCACAAACTCTTCGAATGATTATAAGAAGTTAAGATTAAGAAGTAACCTCACGCCCCAAACTGCTTTGCTCTACTCGGGAGTTGACATTTGCATCTCTACCTAAGGCTGATTGATGGATTAGAAAAACAAGGGCTTGGCTAATTCATTCTACAGTAGAAGAACATGACTATAGCGGCACCTTACCGGAATCCCCCCTTTTTTTCCTAGGAAAACTAAATTACTTATACTTGGGTATAGCGGAGTGTTAGGTCCGAGCTTGGATACAGCAGGAGAGATCGAGCGAGCTCTAGCTGGGGGAAGGGGTTGGGGGCTGTAGGCAGGCTCCAAACAAGCAGCCAGCAGTGCGGCGTTGTGATTGGCCATTCCAGTGATGAGTGAGGTGGGGCAGGCAGCAGAGAGAGAGATGTGTGGAGAGACATGCTATTGATATGGAAGGGAGGTAATCATGTGGATTTAAAGACATTTTTCAGTAATTCCCCATCGCATTCCTATAGCGGGAACTTGCATACAGCTGGATTTTTCTTTTCGAATCAAAAGTCCCACTATAGCCAAGTTCTACTGTATTAAATTAGTACCTTTTGACAACTCACTTCCTCTCCCCTTGAAGGTTATAACTATTTATGACTTTCAAGGTACCACATGTGACAATATGTCTGAAGTCAATGGAGATGTCATCATACTTATTTGGAGTAACTTGAATATACTAAGGCAAGAACACCCATAAAGATTGGAAGCATTACATGTCAATGTCATGCTCTCCACAAATAATTGGAACTATCACTATATAACGAATAATTGGAACTATCACTATATAACGCGTAATCTCCATTCAGAATAATTATTGCAGCTTAAAGAATTCATCTTTCATTCACTCCCACACATCTCAGATGAATCCAACAGACGGCAAGCAAAACAAATACACATTTGGATGTTGCAGGCACATAAAATATGTACATTTATTAATTTTCTTGTATGATTCTCAAAGAATATGACAACAGACACATTTATCACTTGCTGTTTATTTCCCACATGCTTCTTCACAGACCTCTTTAGCAAAGCGTAACAACCTTCTATCACTGATGACCTCTCCATCTTCCTCAAAAATTTCCCGAGCTTTGGACATCCAGTACTCTTTGCTCCGCTCAAAGTAGTCTCCGATACCCTCTCCTTCTCTTCGAGATGGTGCATCATCAAAAGTTATCTCCATACTTTCATCTGAATCTGTAAGCAAGAAATGGCATATTGGATGTTAATCATTTGAGATAATATGAATCTTTCACTAACAACTTACAAGGCATGACCCATCTCCATATACAATGAATGTACCAATGGATTCTACAGTTGCACAGTAGTATCCGCCTAAATGCACTGTGCTTGGGAGGGCTCCTTAACGTGTGTTTATACGCAGTGTGCGTTTACATGAACCTATGCAAAGGGAGGAAGGGATGCAGCAATCTCACTGCCTTGACATTTTAGTGACCTCCTTTGGGGGTTCAGGGTCACGTTGGCCGATAATGTGACGACACGTGACTGTTTTGTGATGAAATCCCCGACTGCAGTTATGAATACAAAGGTGCAGAACTGGTTGGCAGGGGGTGGAGCATGATATGCACTATAAAATGTCGGGCACATTAAAAAAGTAACTATTAGTGATAGTCATAGGGCCTGGAGAGCACTCAGCCACTCAGGTTTCGAAGCGACCACTCCCGACTGCCTGTCATCTATTGTAACATAGTAAATATTATTCATGGTTGACATCAGAATAAGACATTCTGAGTGACTTTTCTCTGATTCATTGAACAAGCATGTTATGAGTTCTTCAAGCGCAGCGGATTACTTGACTAATCTTTAATCCTGTAGAGGCCTATCTAGTGTCCTACAGCATTCAGGCATGTTGCCCATCATAGGCCTAACTCGACATTACGTATGCAGTCACTCAAACACCAGTCAGAAACTTTCTCTCAAAGACGCATTTTGAGTAGATCGAACCAATCAAAACACATTTCAGTCGCTCAACCCGCCACTCCCAAGATATACCCAACTAGTCCTAAATCTATGTGTCAGAAAAATTGGGTGTGAAAACGCTGTCCATCCCTCTCTGTTCTGCGTGAGGGGCAGTCACACTAAATATCTCGTTGTCTTGACTTGTTTTCGAGGACAGAAGCGTGTGTTTAGAGGAAGGGAACGTGCGTTTGAGCGGACCAGGCTTTTGTATGGCATGCGTTCAGGCGGAGACTACTGTAACAGAATATCTGAGTATGAGAAAATTTACAAAAGGCTGATAATACAGTTGTGGAAAAAGGCAAGAGAACTGACAAATAATGGACTGATAGGAAAGCAGTATGGCCTACATGGTGCACCATCCAAACTGACTGTGACACATATATAAAATTTAATGAACTGCTACTTAAAACTAATAAATGATGAGAGTCTAAAGGAGACGCTCTTTTCATTTCATTAGGTCATCATATTAAGTACAAGCAGGATGCATGTATCCTCCAAATACCTTCAATGTTGTAGAAAATAGAAAAGAAAACACCCTTTTGACTAACATTTATCATGTAAAAATAAACGGTAAAAACAACAAGTTATTTCCATCTTGGTGATCATATATAGATGTCGGGGAGGTGAAAACTTGAATAATGAGGGATCTTTCCATCAGTGACATGAAAGAAATCAAGATTATACCTTCATCACTGTCCTCATCTTCTTTACCCCCTGAAGCTGTCGCACCCTCGCCATCTTTACCATCATCGTCATCAGAGTCAGAATCATGCCATTCTTGAAGACGAGGGTCTTCAGCAGCCAGGACATTCCAAGCATTTGGTCTTTGTACGTCCAATGAGTACATGTCAGATAATGTCAACTGCCTATCACCTTCCTCAAACACACCACCATACATGTACAGTTGGCCAGATTTTACCTGAAAAATTAAAGACAGATGAGAAAACATTTAGGTGACCCAAGAGCAATTATAAAATTCACTCAAAGAAATTACAAAATCAGAGACTAAGAATACCAATAGATATTGGAAATATGCAATTCTACATTTAATTGTTTGTATAAGTAACAAAACCATTGCAAATATTTAATACCGGTCCATTAAATTTATTAGCCAAACTTGTTCGCTTTCTAAAAATGCTGAAAATTGGTAAGTTAGTTTGCTCTGAATTTCTCATTCTGACATATTAAGTAGGACTATAAAGTCACTGGTGTCAACAACATCAACATTGAGCTCAAAACGGAATATATTTTTTGCCTTTAAGGCTAATAATAACTCTTAAGAGTCTCGATTGGTCTCAGAATTTCATGAACTTGATAAAAATTTTGAAAAATAATGGGTCACTCAAGAGAAAGATAGTATCCATATATGCAGCACAAAAGAAGATTGTTTACAAGTCTCAACTTTTTTCCTCCTTCTCATCCCCATACACCAATAACTATTATGTACAAGTTTATTACAGTTTTATTTCTTGACAGAGTACTTGATACGTAATATATCCTAAAATTATGAAAATTGGTTGAAACAGAAATGACTTATGACCTTTTTCGATAAAATCCCTAATTTTGTTGGGTTTTTGGGATATTACTTTATTAGATCGCCCTGACCTCCATCCTCAGTGTGAGACAAAATCGCTCAGTTTTCCTCTGTCTTTCTTTATAGGACACCCGTAATCAGTAAATGTGCAGTTTGGTTATAGTGCTAGACACTTAACTCAAGTGGAGCAGAAGGTTGAGGCATAGAAAAAAATGGTAGATACAATACACCTATCATCGCTACTATTCCATCAAATTGCCACACGTTTGCATTGGAAAAACAATGGTTATTGTAGAAAATTTTAGCATGTGGAATGAATCATTGGTTCAGGTAAACAACCCTTTATATCTTGTGCCCATATTCAACAAAATGATGTAGCAATTGCCTACTTTCAATAAGCCATAGCAATTTCTGTTCCTACTCTTCTTCGTGCAACCAAGAGGATCCTAAAGAGCTTTTTTAACTCGCAAGTGTGCTTACCGCTAATGCAGTATTCATTCTGCGTGACGGCCAGAAGGAGTCCACCTCCATGGCACAGTCAGAGGATGCATCGTTGCCAGTGTTGGCATTGGAAGAACTTGGAGCAGCCATAGTCACTTTGAAGACGCTTTCCTCCGCCTGTGCTCCAGGAGTTTGAATATCTAAGTTCTCCACCCCTTGCTGTGTCACTTCCATTTCATCATCTTCATCATCCTCTTCATCATCCTCTTCCTCCTCCTCCTCTTCACCATCCTCAGAGTCCTCATTTTCATCTCCATTATCCTCTTTCTTTTTTCGTCTCCTTTTCTTTCTGTCGCCTGTGTTCTGCTTCAGGTCTCTGAAGTATTAAAGTCATGAGTTAGTTCAAGCATAAAAATAAAAACCAGAGCAATTCGTTTAGCAATTGTGCTGCAGTATATCATCCTTCAACAATTTTCCCTCGTTATTTTAACAATAATAATAATGATAATAATTGCATTTATATAGTGCATATCCACACTTCACAGCATGCTATATGCGCTTTACAACTATTATTATTCCAGCAGACCCTGGAAAACTAAGAAACATTCTCGGCTTCCTAGGAAGCATACAGTGCAAGCTGTGGATTGGACACAATCAAAGACTAACTGACAAGATCTTTTGTTATCTATAGTCAGGTACCTATTTTCACCTGAGAGGAGTGAGGAAAATTAGAGAAAGGTGCCTTTCCCATGGGAACAACACCGGGCCCCTGATGGAATTCGAACCAATCACCTTATGGTTGTGAGTTCAAGGGCCTAACCACTAAGCCACTGATGCCATATTTTAATGACAACAAACAAAACAACACTACTTATAATTTAAAACTAAAAGTGAACCATGAATTTTTTTTTAAACAAAAGGTGAAAACTACAAAAGACCAAGAAAATTAAGATTTACATTTTGTGATCATGACGCCACAATGAATGACATGTAAAAAAAAGGGATGAAAAGCTTTGTGCAACAAAAGACACAGACCGACCATCACTTCAGCTGATCACTACTCACTTCAGTTGCACAGAAAACCACTTGAGCCTCTCCAGATCCAACATCCACAACTCATTGAAGAAGGCACCTTCCAGAAACTCATCTTCATCTTCCTGGGAAAAACCCCCAGAAATACAATAAAATATTGAGGAATCTATGATATCTTTTCACGAATATCAAATACACACACCTCGCAGAACAATTAGGATAAAATGATGATTCCAAGAAACCTTGCCCTATAAAGTTGGATCCTTTACTTACAATTTAGGCCTGAAGTATGACAAAACAATTATTCACCATCTCACTCACTGCCACATACTTGTGCCCATTCATATAGTGTGGACCCCTCTCTCTCCTTTAAATTCCACAAGAAGCAAATAAGCTATTAACATTTCTCCTTCAAAATAGTTTGTGTTATGTACCTTTCTACAAGTGTGTGTCAGTTTTGGCCATAGTCCGGACAACACCAACTGGACAACTTGTCCACCTCATAACACTTAATCTAAGCGGTGAATCTCATGGATTTTTTGCATGCGCCTCTGAATTCTAAAAGGCCTAAAAAATCTCGATTTTCGTGCATATAAAGAGATGCTGTCTATATAATTATTAGTAATTAATTGCTCATTTAACTCAACACCGTTCACTTTTTATAGCAAGCACGGTACCATGCAAAAACCACAACACTACAGGGTGTCATTGCAGGGGCTTAGCCAGAAATTTCAGAGGGGGGGGGGAGGGTCAACAGAGAGCTAAATTTTGAATCACAGGCATGTCATTGCCCCCTCCCCATCCCACCCCAAGTCCATAAGCAGAACGCACCCCCCCCCCACCCCCACCCCCACATACGCATACATTTTCGAACCACCTGAATATATGAAAGTAGTAGTATTTTCGGAAGTATCATGCGCCTCTATTGCTATTCTTCTTCTTATTATTACTATTATGTTGATCATGATCATTATTATTATTTGTTTATTTTTTATTATCATTTCTGACATTCAACATTATTTCAGTAGTTAATAGTTCAGTAGTTTTAAGGCAACAGCTTTTTTTTTTCCTTGTAAATTGAGTCATCTAACCATGGTGATAAATGAAAAAGCGACAGCAAATTGAAACACATGCTATCTCAAAGACTGTGAAGAGAGAAATTTTACTAATTGCATATATCACAATTACTAATAAGTCAATCTAAAGAAACCCACTGTTACCCACTAACCGCTGGACTGAAAACAACTCAGTCTTGCGCCACATGCAGTCAGTCCAAAAAAAAAAAGAAAAGAGATTTGAACAAACAAAAAAACTAAAACTCAATTACCTTTCTTGTCCTAATAAAAAATCCCCTCGCAGACTGTAATAAAATACTAATGATTATATAGAAAACACCTCTTTATATTTGTCGTATATGCACCGAAATCTAGATTTTAAAGGGTTTTTTTAATAATTCAGAGGCACATGCAAAAAATCAGGGCAATTCGACACTTAGTTTTGTTGTGATGATCTCGACAAGTTGTCCATTTGGTGTTGTTCGGACTATAGTTTCTATCTCCATCTGCCTCCACTATATTGTGTTTAGCTTTCTTCTGGTCCTCTAGCTCAGGGAATTCAACCTGAGTGAATTTCTGGCTATTCTTGTTGTCATTTTCAAAACATGTGACTTCAAACAGATCTTGACTCACAAGATCTACAGCCTGTGCACAAGGTGTTAACTCATTCTATACTGGCGGTCGATGCATCGGTCGTCCGATTATCGCCATTTTTGCCAAGGACCGACTCATCGGTCGGCATCGTATTGTTTCGTTGTAGACCAGTTTCTGATTTTAAACTGACTTTATATTAAATGGTATTGCAAAAATACAAATGTTCTGAGGCGAAATTTGTTGGATAGCGTCACTTTGCGTTGTTTGGCGGTTTCTTTGAGCGGAAAATCTATCTGCTACGGCAGTGCTGTTTTGTCTCTAACGTAAACACAAACATGGATACGCCCACTTCATCAGGAGATGCACAATCTCGTCCTCCTAGACGTATTACCAGTAATCAGGCTAGGATCCTATTTGAAACTTTGTGTGACAGATCTAGTGATGATGGCATGAGTGAAAGAAGTGATAGTGGCGATATCTGGGGTGAATTTGATATTCTAAGTGATTCAGACAATCATCCTAATGAGATCACCGCGCCTGTGAGGGATCAATCCAGATCTAGTGATGAAGAATCAGACTTCAGTGCCAGTAAAGATAACAAGCCAGTTCCAAGTACTAGCACTGATAAAGGAAAACAAAGATACAAAAGAAAAAAAGGCAAGGCTGCTGCTGCAAGCAACAAGGTGCCCAGGTTAACCCAAACAAGGACAAGGGCTGGATCTACAACAAGAGGTGCAGAAAACAAAGACCACGGGCAAACAACACAACTGGATTTCCACTTTCGTGGAGTATGTGGGTCTAAGCTGGACTAGGGGGAAAATGCAAATGCTCTTGATTTCTTTTTTGCATTGCCTGATAACACCGCAATAGATAATTCGATCCGTGAGATCAACGCATACGCAGAAATTCAAATTCGAAAACACACCCCACTCACAAAGCTGAAAGCATTCCAGTTTCGCTGCCTGGGAACCAATCGGTCGGTACGAGATATACACATTTCTGGCCGTACTTATTGCCATGAGAATGGAACCACGCTCCTATGTCGTTGACTACTGGTCTACTAAGAGACATCTGCACACATCCTGGTACGGACAAATGCCTTTCAGGAGGAATTTTCAACTTCTGTACCACAGCATGATTCAGTGAGTGAGCCCCACAGCAGAAGGCAAAGCAAAAATTGAACCATTCATCAAGGATCTGCTCAGGAATTTCCAGACAGCATTCTACCCTTTCTAAAACATCTCTGTGGATGAAATGGTCATCGGCTGGAAGGATAGATTTTTACACTAGCAGTACGCCATGAAGCCGAAAAAACACCACATCAACACGTTCGGGCTCTGCGACTCTACTACAGGTGTACATTTACAATTTGCTGGTATACTTTGGCAAAGACACCTCTTACATTCCTGAGAGTGATGAAGATTCTTCACAAGCTGTGAAAGTCTTCAAAACTCTAATGGAACCATTGCAGCACAGTGGACACCATATCTTCGCTGATCGGTATTATACTTCGGCACCCCTCATAACATATTTATCATCTGCTCGGCATTACTATACAGGTACCCAGAATGTGAACAGATGTACTTCGACAATGAGGAAAGGGACATCCTCTGCGTCACATGGAAGGACAAGAAAGGGAAGAAACCCTGTATTGTGGTGTCAGCGAATTCCCGCGTTGGATCAACCGAGATCAGGGAAAGACGTCGGCAGATGTCAAAACCCGTCATGATACAGGATTATAACAACTGCATGAATGGCTGCGACAGGGGCGACCAAATGATTTCGTATTACAGTACGCACAATCGAAAAACAAGAAAATGGGGGGAAAAAATTTTGCATGGTCCCTTGAAGTAGTGCAAGTCACATTTTGTATGTTCTGAGCAGGCCTAATGCAACCAAGAAATGCATTTTCAAAGCATTCAAGCAGTGCTTGATAAAGAGCTCACCGCACTTGCTGCAAGTATTACCCCCACACCCCTTGTAACTACCCCTTCCAGAAAATCTGGAATAGCCAATGGAGGAAATGTCATTGAGCGCTACCAAGGCCATGTCCACCTCATCAAGTTTGATGGCGCTGATGTTAGGTCCGTTCTCTGTAGTGGACAGGGGATCAGAAAGAGAACAAGTTTCTACTGCACAGGGTGCTCTGATAAGCCACACCTATGGGCAAAGGGGTGCTTCTACAAGTACCACAATCAGTAAAGTCTTGTTTACTACGGGAAGGGGCTCGGGGGATTTTTTTGGACTGTGTGGTGACATTTTTCAAATTGGGATTATTTGACTCAGGAATGACATAGAGACCTCAAACAGTCTTGAAGATTTTTTAAATTAATACATGCGCAGCATTTTGTTTTCTATCACTTCCACCAATGTTCTTGCCGATATCGAATGTATTCTAGAGTTCATCCCAAGACATCTACTTACCTCATCATATACTCCTCCAAATAAGTAGGCCTTATTGTTAGTGCCCAGCACACCTGTCATCCCTGACCGAGCTGATGGTTTTAGCCCACTCTGCTTTACTGACTGCCATTTCCAGCGCTGTTCATGATCAGGAACACCATCTCTTTTTTCTGCAAATAAAGAACATTTTGGTTTTTATATTCTTAAAATTCATTACCTTTTTTGTTAGAATAGAACAAGCCTTAAATTAAATACAAAGAGACATAGGTATGAAGTCTGGAGCCTTCATTTAACGCTACAACTTACTGAACAAACCGTCTATCGGAACCGACAAAGGCATCTCTATAAAGTCACATTTTTAGATTTAGTGTGCACTCACAAGCAATTCAAATAAAAGAGGGAAGATGAAGATAACGAGAGATTGAGACAAAGAATAAAGAACATGAAAGATGTGGAGAAAAGGAGAAGCCATAAAGACAGTATGGTTATCGCAACAGGATTCGGACCAACAACAACGTATAGTTAGTGTGAAAAAAGAGAAGGCATAACAAGATGAGGTGGAGGTGTTACAAAAAAGTAGGGGCAACAAATCATATCTGAATCTTCATTTGACTAGACCGGACAAATTCTAAACAGCTAACTTTGAAAATGCAGTTTTTTGGTTTTTCCCTGAATTTTTACTGACATCACAAAACACATCAAATAAATAATTCCTCAGCCTGATTAACCTATCCATAGAGCTGCTACAACATTAGATTCCAAACAGTTAAAATGTATATAGCCTTGCACTTTAGGTTGTTTTGTTTTTTTTACTCTCCAGTAAAATTTACAGAAACCGAGGTTACTGTTTAGAATCCTGCAACTACGATATGCAAAGCCACTGTAAAGATCTTGCCAAATACCAAGTAGAAAACAAAAGGAAAACAGGTTTTCAATGTTCTGGTGCCGATAATTGTAGGTTAAGTAAAAATGTGCTGACATGGTGCAAATTGTTATGCTTCAAGCAAAACAAAACAAGGAAATGGACATGTGAAAAAAAAAAAAAAAAAAAAAGATAGAAAGATTCTGACACTTACTTTCTGGTGCTAGAACGAACATGTCTGTATGTGTTGTGCCTTTGTCCACATCTCGTTTCACTCTTTCTTTGCTGTACCCCCCATATACAACTGCCCTGCCTGTGTCAGAAACAGGGAGGAACACACAGCCTGATCTGTGGGAGGATATACAACATTTTTTTAAAAAAGCAAAATAAACGCGTGTGTGTCTATGTGAGTGTGTATAAATGGTTTTGTTCCGTATCCAAGAACTCCCTCTGCTGTAGTGACACAGGCTTCACATAGATTTTAACTGGCATCATCACTATCCCCATAAACTGATAGAATATTGTATCTTCATTAGTCAGTTTCATCATTCTAAATTATGTAACAACGTCAAAGTCTCTCAGTTTTGTTGAATCAAAATGCTTTAGGATGGCTGTTTTCACTTGCCTTTTCAATTTCAGTTTGATTGATGCTATAGAGAGAAAACGATCCGACCCAACCTCTATATGTGTGGACATTAGTTAAAGAGGTTTTCTTTCTAATGCAGAAATAGTTTATTTAAATTGTAGTAACTCCATCTGGTGAACATCAAGTAACTTTATGGATACCTTTATGTGAAAACAATGTTCCACTTACAACAAGGCTATTTAGCTGATACATCTCTATAAATTATTCACTGTTGTTATTTATACTTCCAACTCCATGCAGGCCCATAGTACTTTCTGTTCCATCATTTGTGGCCCCAACATTTGCATTCCTTTTTGCATTTGGTCATATATACAAAATCAATCACCAAAAACGCAACATGAGGCATTTCTCTCATTTAAATAAAAGCAAATGTACCTGGGAGAGGGGCCTGTACCAGATGGTTTCAGCAAAGACCAAGTGTAGGTTTCCAGGTTAAAACTGTAAACATCATTGAAGTATTTGTAGTCTCTGCGATGAGAAAAACAATAGAAATAAACTTGAGGAATGGGAAAGTTTCAAATATAGACAGAAAATCTTTTTAAATCTTCAACAGAAAAATAGAATGACAAGGTTGATAAACATAAAAATACATGTATATGCCGTTTAAATATTGATTTTTAAAAAAGGGTAAAGGCTAAAAGGTAACTCTTAATAATAATAATAAATAGCATTTGTATAGCGCATATCCCCGCTCAACAGCAGGCTCTATGCGCTTTACACTATATTATTACACCAGCAGACCACAGAACACTCCGAAACATTCTCAGTTTCCCGGGAAGCATACAGTGCAAGCAGCTGATTAAGCGCTCAAACACTAACAAACTGACAAGATCTTTCGCTGTTTATAGCCGGGTACCCATTCCCACCTGGGTGAAGTGAGGAAAATTCGTGTAAAGTGCCTTTCCCAAGGACACAACGTCGGGCCCCTGACAGGATTCGAACCCACGACCTTACGGTTGCGAGTCCGAGAGCTTAACCACTAGGCCACCGACGCCACATCATAAAAGCATTTTTAACTTTCAGATTTATTAGCTTCCATAATCATTAAGACAGGAAATGTAGAGTACAACAAATGTGTCACTTTTTCCCCTCATCTGTCCATGTAAAAGTCAGACAAGACACTCATGATAAAAATTGAGTTTGAGTAAAAAGAAGAACATTATCATAATAAGGTCACATAGTGCAGGGAAGAAGCAAAACATAGAAACAACAGAGGGAAAGAAAAGAAGTAGGACCTACCAGTGGCGCCCTCCAACCACCACCTGCACTCATAAAATTCAATTATGAAAATTTGCAAAAAAATTTAAGACAGAAAGCAGTTAAGTGCATCATGTATTCATAACATGAGTCACGGACATTGACATTAGATCAGATCCTAAACAGTAGAACCGGATTCTGGAGAGAAGATGTTGTCAATCAGGGCTCCAAGGAGTATCCTTCAAAAGTCGAAGCAAACTGAAATGGTTTTGACACACTGCAAGACCATCTGGACTAGAAAACATTGTCCTTCAGGCACAATAGGAGGCAGAAGGAGAAGAGGGCAGAAGAAAAAATAGGATGATAGCATCTAAGAGTGGATAGGCCTGAAACAATAATATGAGGTTATGGAGCCAGTCCAACAATTAAAAAAGGAAGGAAGAAGATTGGTAGAAAGTGATCTATGGTGCCCCAACAGTCAACAGATAACAGGAGTGATGATGAAAAAAACAAATAATGTTTTCAAGTCTTGTAATGATATCATATCTGAAAGATAGTTGTTCTCTCCTTTCATCAGGAGCACTTTAACTCACTTCAGACGGGTCACACAACAGTTGCGTGACCACCGCCATGACGCTCGTGACGGGTCTCACAAGCCGTGCGTGACCAACTTTGGAATTTTTTTTTCGCTCTACAAATCACGCACGGATCGCGAGACCTGCCTCGTACCCTTGTTTGGCCAAGCCTGAGCTACTTAGACTTCGTTTCGTATCTCTGGGGCCGGTAGTTTTTAAGTTATTGAAGGTGAAGGACAGTGACCCCAACTGGGGTTGAACAGACCGGAACTCGCGCTTTGTTTTTTTCTATACAGCTCATAGTAATCCGACAGTCACGTCGTAGTAACGGTCAAAGAAGTCGCATGAACAAGAATCACATAATTTGGCCGTTTTCTATACTTCTGTGCGTTTTACTAGTTCTAGTGTCTCAGAATATGATGTGTCTAATAGTTAGGATCCTGGATATGTACCCGAACACGGCCCGAGTCGTAGTTCTAGGGCTAGATCTAGCACTAGTACCGGTGTTGTTTTTCGCGCAACGAAATCACAACGTCGTGCCGTACATCTGTCTCATGTAATTCAGTGTATGGGTCTGAATCAATTCACAGACCAGCTTTTATATTTCCACCAAACACTTGCACATGTATACAAATCAAACCAGAACACTTTGAACTTTTATTTTTGTTGTTGCAGTGAATTTCATTCTACTTGTCACGTCTCTGGAAATTTTTCGAAAATCAAATTCCTGCCAATTTTTAAAATATCATACAAATTAAAGTATTAGACTTAGACAACTTTAGTTTTTTGTATTAGATTAAGCTTGAATGTTACTTTACTGTGTCAAAAAAATGATTACAATAGGGTAATTCTGAGAGTTGTGGTGATTTATTTAAATACCCCCCAAAACGCCAGTCTTCAACGCTTGTGACTGGTGAAAGGGCCCAGTCGCAAGTGAGTTAAAAGTCATAATGCCACTGCCGTTAATTATTCTGTATCATTCATTGGTGCTTCTTTGAGAGACCGCTCGCAACATTCCAGCTCTGCATTTCAGCTCTTCAGTGGCCTGTAAGAGAACCACTGACTCACACACACAAAAAATTCAGTTTCAAGGTCAGTCCAACCGATAGGGAATGTGATAACAAAAGACAGGGAGGGCAGCTGAAAATATCAATTAAATTCATTTCTAAACAAAATCAAAGTGAATTACCTGGTGTTGTCATGGAAACCTCCAAACACAAGAATCTGTTTCTTCAAAGCCATCATTCTATGTCCACTGCGGGCAGAAGGGCCACCGGGAGCTCTGAGGATATCAAAGAACAAAATCTACACCTTTCTGGAGAAAACAGTACACCTGGGAAAGGGACTAGTTTAGTACACAGGAATATTTATCCAAAAAAAAAAAAAGAAAAGAAAAAGAAAAACTGACAGGAAAGGAGCTTGCCTCTCATGACAAATGATCAGGTTCAATCTAAAGTTGGTGCAAGTCCCCCCTCCCAATTCAGGCTAAGTGGGATCAAGCACGGAGTCTTCTCAAATAAGAATTTTTAAATCTCAAGAGGTTCAGGACACAAGATGTATACTTCAAAAACACCTTGGTAGTTAAAAGTGGAGGCAAAAAGTAAGCTGATCTGGGCCAGTAGTCTTGAATAAATTCAGAATATACTTACCTTAACCCTATCCATACATCATATTTTACTATCGTATCCATACAACGTGGGAAACTCTGTGCACCACTTTTCAAAGAGGAAATTTACTCGTTAATCCGATCCGTACGCTTTGCACAGCAGTCTGTCAAAATGATTTTTTGAGAAATACTGAGAGTTTCAAAGAGACCCTCCTACTAGAAGTATTCTAAAATGTGAAGAATTCAACCCCGAGGGTACAAAATGACCCCAGGGCGTATGGATAGGGTTTAAAAAGTGTCACACAGTTACCTGACAGGTGAGGGCCATGTGCTTCAGCAGAAAAGTTGGCAGAGCACATTACAGTAAATCACTTTAAGGATCCAAGAACTTAAGTTGACAAACCCTGAGGAAAGGCTGTCAAGAAGTAAAAAGAAGACATTATTCAGGTGACTAGTGAAGTCACATAAGAAAGCACTGGTCCTGCCAAACTTAAGAATTGGTAACCCGCACAATGTATAACAGACACATTAGATGCAGAATAGGCACCCCACCAAAAGGCAGCATAATAGAAGAATGGAAAACGAAAGTTAGACGAAGCAAATTTATTTCAAAAGCACAAATGGAAAAAATTAAATGAGGAAAGCAAAAGAGGAAGCAAAAGTGAAAGCAATCAAATATGCTGATGACAACACAGCTAACTCACTTGACTTGTTCCCATCTCTTCTCCTTCAGATGAAGAACCCACAAATCCTTGTAGTGGTAGAACTGAGCCTGGCTATGGCTGGAAAACTCTCCACCAAAAAGCCACATCTGGCCATTCTGCTGAGACACCACGACTGCCTGAAAAACAGAGAAAAGACTCGTGACCTAGGATCATGATCGACTGTGAAGTAGAACAAAGTTTATGATTTATACCCTTTTATTACAACATACCTGTCACCTTTACTTTTACTTGAGTAACACTTGAAAAGTTTTCTTTATTATACCTCAGTAACAAAAATTTGTCGTTTTGCAGATTCTACTCAAATTATTTGGCAGTTACTTCCTCAGCTCTGCTCATGAAACTAATTTGATGAATCTAAAACTGATTTGAATTTTCAGCAACTTTATTTGAGGATTCAGTAGACAGAATATATGAAAAAAAGGAGAGAAAATTAAGGCCACTGCAGTGGGATAGCCAGACAAGTACAAAATCAACTTTTGTTTGGCATAGAAAGAAAACTTGGTCTGGAAACATAAGAGTGCCCTGAGAGCAAAAAAGTTAGTTTTGTTTTAAGCACCCAAGTAACGATCAGGGCAAAAAATAGACCTGGCTCACCTGATGTGCACTGCGTGGAGGAGGTGCATTTGGAACAGACACTTTCAACCACTCCTGTTTACGAATCTGGTACACAAACAGGTCATTGTATACAAACATCTGTGGGAGAAGAAAACAAAAAACAATGAGCACCTTTTTTCAGAAATCAAGGAGAGCATTATCATGCAGAAATCAAGGAATATCAATTATATGAGTGCTAATGCACTACCAATACGATGTAATGTTAAATGAACGTACTAGGACACAGACAAGAGTTATAACCAAAGCGGTAACAGCTAGCAGCTTCATGACTGCCAAGGATCTCAACAAATAAGAGCCACTGGAATTGTCTTTACACCAATCACAGTAAGTATTTTGAACTTGAAAGGAAATAGACGCGGTAATGGTAATATTAACATGCCTACAGGAAAAAAGAAGGAACAAAGAAATCACAGAGGGATTGGAACAGAATATGACCTGCCACCAGTTGCACCTCAAACTGCCTGCTACCATATCAAACTGAGTACCATATTTAACTGTCAGAACAAAGACAAAGATGATTTTTAAAAGCCAACAGAAAAGGATGCGAAAGAGGATGGAAGAAAAGAAAAAAATTACAAGTGAGCAAGATTCTGAATTTTTTAAAATCACTTTGACAAAACAAAACATCTTACTTTGTTCCCAGTGAAGTATTCTCCACCAAACAGTAGCAGCTCCTCCTTGTCTGTATGGGCAACAAAAGATGCATTGCACCTGACAAGGATACAGAAAAATTATGCAACTGAGAGTGTGAGTACTTTTTGTCACTTTAACCAAATTTGACAAAACTCACAAGTTCCTTGTTCCCCAACATAATGAGAACAATAGAAAATGAGGTGCAGATCATATAGCTGTTGGCATACAGAACTGGGGGTTTTTTTTCTCTCTTAGAAGGGAGAAAAGTAGCCTACATATAACTTATTATAACACCAGAAGGAATATTTTCATGACAAGACTAGTTGAGTTTAGTGTACATTTCAAATATTCATTTCATTAGGTTTCAATTAATTTTCATACTAGCCTCTGAATACTCTGATGTTCTTCAATTGGTGCTAGCAGAAGACTCTAAAGCCAAACTGAGATAGTCACAGAGAACCGATCAGCTCTATTAATTTTTCAAAAGAAAGATACTATTAATTCAGACCTAAAAGACCAACAACAAAAAAACAGTTGGATTTTGACATCAAAAAGATAAAAAGATGACTTCTGTTGATAATCATTCTTTATCTTAAACAAAAAGAATTGTGAAATTCATTCACTGCCAGAGCATCATGGTGCACAGGAGGCTTCACAAACAACAAGTATGTTTCTCTATACATCAAGGTCATGGGAAGGAAGGGGGGAAACTATAAAGATCTTGAAGACCTTGGAGGGACTTTAAAAAATTGGGGGTTCACAGTGTAGCAGGGAGACTTAAAACATGGAAATTAAGGGGAACAGCAGCGCCTAAAATTCAAAAATCTCTATACACAGGCACATCTGGGTACATATCTTTGCAGGTGTCTTTGTTTTGTACAGAAAGGCTGACCATCAGGTTTCAGCTTTTCAGGCTGTCTTGTTGCCATGGAAATGACAATGATTTTTAAAAGACAGGGCAGGGGATTTTTTTGTTTTTGTTTTTATTTTATCTTATTTTTTGTTTGTTTGTTGATTGGTTTTGTTTTGCTGTTGTTTTGTGCTGTTGTTGTTTTTTTATTGGGGGGGGGGGGGTTAATTAAATGAGAACATTACTTTCTTTCTTCTTGATTTTCGAGTTTGCTCCTGCATAGGTCATCAGTACAATTTTTTGACAAATCTTAATAAAGCGGAAGTTCTCAACAATACAAAATTACAACAGAATCAAAGAAAGCTTTCGCAACTATCTTTTTATTGTTGAAAAACATCTTTGAGCCAAACCATAACTACAAGTACAAGGTTCATATATAATAAAACCAAACTTCAGAAAACGCTTTAAAATGCTGATTTAAGTTTTAAAAAACAAAGAAAAAATTCAAATCCACAGACCGAAAAAGGCTGAACAAGTCCATTTACGGACATATGTGTCTGTGCCTAAAGAAAGGTACCAAAAGTCGCCACAGACCATTTTTAGCTACAGGCTGATAATGACAAAAAATCACTTTTTGACCAAAATGTGTTTCCATTAAAAAAATGATAGTTCCACCATGTTTTTATGTGATAAAAGGATTTTCATTGATTTGACTTCTAAATATTTTATTTTGAATAATTTTGAGACTAGGGTATTCTTTTAATTGCCAGTACTTGATCCTATTTCAGAGGATACAAAGGGTAAAATGAGTAAAATCAGAACATTATTTTTATACAAGTACAAGAACATTTTCCCCACCAAGACATACTATAGTTACCACGCAAAAACAAAATCAATAACCAGCCTTGCTCAATAGCTATTAATACTTGTGAAAACAGAATTTGATTCACACCACAAAGGCTTTTAGCACGGCAGCTCACCTTGGTGGTGGTGCTCCACATTTTTCCTCAGTCACCTGTACTCGTTTTCTGTCTTGCTCTTGAAACTCTGCAAGGAGTTTTTCTATGTCATCCTGTTAACGAAATGACAAGTAGTGTGAACAAAAGGATACATTTAAAAAAATAGAAATCATATTCATTTACACAAAAAAAATTACCAGGGAATTTTCTGACAAACTAATGAAACCTTCGGTCTGTTTATCATGAAATAATGACATTTTTTAGTGTAGGATGACACGTATGTGAGGGATGATACGTAAAAACATAGTTTTGTATCTGGGTTTCTTAACTTGGAGATCAGAAAAATCTACTCTTGCGGGATACTGACTTTTCTCGTGACTTGTCAAGGTCAGAAACCAAAGAAAATTGCACAAGAAGAAACCAAGACAAACGCACCGTTGAATGCTGCCCCCTCTGAAACTGCCAGTTGTCACCACATTCCTGATGCCATTCAGGAAAAAAAGTATTTCTCATCCGATCTCTTAAGAAATTAAACTACCTATCAAAGAAAGTCCAATATTAGGTCTAGTTTATTTTTGTCTGAAGGATCTCTCAGAAACCCTCTTTCATTGTGTCGTAATATAGAACAAGTTTGCAGAGCGAAAATTAAGAATGGTGTCATGCTCTGATTACTGTGCACCAGGTACAAGCTAGTTCTAACATTTTTCAGGAAGCAGAAAAACCCCCCATCTGATTTCAATGATGAGCGCTACAGACACAGACAAAAGTTTTAATAATATCTAATATTATAAAGGACCTACAGATAGATCTTATTGTTTCTTAGTATGTGTTTTACAGGACTTGCAAACAAAACAAGGTCGTATAAGTGCAGAAGATTAGAGGTGTCACAAGAGAGTAACAAACACAAAAAAGAAGGATGAGAGATAAAGATGATATATGTTTGATAGGACAGAAGAAACAACACACCAGAGCACCCACCAACCAACCACAGATAGATCTTGGCAATTGCATTAGTGCACAAAAAAAGACTGTCAATCTATTAATTTCTTCCAATTTCAGTCTCAGAGTAAGAGCATAACACCATTGACATAATTCTAATGATAGGGGCACTGGGAAAAAAAGCATTGGAAACAGGCTTATATTAAGTCAATCCTTGATCTAAAATGCAACAAATTTGTTGACCTCTGTGATTTTCATATATAAATTGTAGAGTACAGTTTGTACAACAAACAACAGTCCACACAGGGACAGTGGTGTATAGGGTTATTGTGTAGACTGCACTGAAGTCGACAAAGATACATAGACATGTCATTTGTGCAGTTTTTTTAATTTTTTATCGTGGGCTCAAGTATGGCTAACAAGCAAACACCCGATGGCACTGATGGCAAGTGAAGGTGGTTATTGCTGAGGTAGATATTTGGGCTCTTCGCCACTCTGACTCATGTGTGGTGATGAGAATGTTTTGGCAAGCTATGACAAGGTTTTTCTGCACTATGGTGGACTGAGCCCGACAAGTAGTTCTGTCTGAAGCACAGTGTTCAAAGTCTTTACCGCAGAACCTCAGTATTCCTTGACATAGTCTTTGTATTGGTGGTATTGGCCTAACGGTGGATAGGGGAGCCTAGGATGGGGAGGGTATTTCGAGGGTGTGACTATTCGGATATGATCCTGTGGAACCTCAGCGCTGGCCCCCGTAGGGTCATTTCCGGAGTGATTGGTTTTCAGCACCCTCCGACCCTGATCACGCATTTCCCGGTCACAGCAATTTTATGCAAACTGCAAAAAACGCCTTGGTCCAAAAAGAAAGAGAAGCACATCATTCCCAAAAAGGAAAAGACTTGTATGTGTCTGAATATATACGAGAGCTTTTACAGACACGTCGCAGCCATATTTCGAGGTCGGAATCAATTCTTTCAAACAGATACTATACACGAACTCTCGACTTCTCTCCTACTAAAATTGCTAAATCAAATAATTATGCTTCTAGCCTAAATTCAAAATCAAATACAGTCAAACCTGTTTAAGACGGAATCTCAAGGCAAGGGAGCCTGAAAAGTGACAGCACAGTGACGAATATTGATTTATTTTCATGACGACACCACGTTTGTAATGCCGAACCTGCATATTACAAATGTTGCGTTATCAGACTATTACTGACAAATTTTCGGGTGGTAACGAAAGCGAAAGTCGATCTTGATTTTCCAGTCGAGCCTCGGTGTCACATACAATTCTGCTTGCCACCAGTTCGCGTAAAACGTACTCTCTGACCGGGAAAAGCCGAATTAATATCACACTCGCAACCGGCAAAAATGAACTTAAAGATGTTATGTATTGCATTTGGTATTCAAATATTCGAGATCTTTTATGTATTTTCCCGGGTCTCTGCGATTTTTTTCAAAGTCCCGGGGCCTGGCAGTCACCCTGCTCCCAGCAACTCTCTTTCTGATTGGCCCACTGTCACGGTAGCGGAGTCTAACGGAGGAAATCCGCTAAATAGCGGAATATTGAGACCCATGAAATATAGATGACGTATAAACCGTCAACTATTTTTGTCATCTTCCGGGGCTTCCCTCGCTAGTTGACTAGCTAGATCTCATCGTGGCGGGCCCGGCTTTGTCACTTAGCGCATGATGGGCTACGTCACTAGGTTTCATCGCCGACTGCTTGGGCTGTGTGTGAGCGCAGGCCTGTGTGCGTGTACGTGCGCTTGTATGTGTGTGTGTGCCCCCCCTTCCCCCCCCCTCCTACACCAATGTAAACATTATAATGTAATGTGAAAGCGAAAGAGCTGAAATAAGGTAGTGTCAAGAAACAATATTATGAATAATGTTTGATGGAAGTTACTGAGATTAATAAAAACTGACTTGATAGGCACAAAAAAAGAAACTATGCTAAAAAAACAAACAGAAAGTGAGAAGAAATAAACTGCTGGTCCTGGTCTCAAGTACTTTAACCAAAGACTTTTACTTTCTATACACCCACACACAATATCGACGTGCACTCGACCTGTAAATATGTAATAAGAACTGCTTTGTAAGTTGACAAAAAGTCAATTGATACTGTACCAGTGACGCTGTCTCAAGCAGATCAAGTCTGCAATCAGATACTATACAAAGCTGGACAAAGTTAGCACACAACAGTTTTAAATCATGATGTAATCAAACGTTCTTCATCGTACTTCTCAGTTCTCAGAACACTGTTGTAACAAAGTGGTCATCTATATTTAGGCCAATCACAGAGATGTGCTAGGTGCTCACTGCAGCTTCATGTAAACTCATTTCTTTCAGAATCAGAGAGTGTGAATGTGAGCAAGTGTACAAATACAAACAAACTTGTTGTAGATCTAGAATTAGAATCTCTAGTTCTAGACTATCTAGATCTAGAGTCTAGGTCTTGGTCTTGATCTAGTCTAGAACTAGATTCAGATCTAGATCTAGAGAGATCTAAATCTAGATCAAACTTGTAGATCTAATCTGTATTTTAGATGTTAAGTTACAGTCGAACCTGCTTTAACGGAATCTTCCCGCTCCCCCCTTCCTTAATATATTAATTCCTCTTTAATTACCTGTACAAAATGGAAACCTGTCCAACGCGGAAACGGAAAGAAAAATCTGCTCCCTTCCGAGGGTTTCACTTGTCTAAGAAGGAAAATGCTTTGCCCACTCAGCCATGATTTGAAACAAAACTCGCAAGTTTGGTTCCGCCGGCTCTAAACTTAACGCTATGGCCATGCCATTGGGCGAGGAAGGGGAGTAGGGGTGCAATTTGGGGGCAGATGTTACCCCATCATTCATATGAACCAGGGCTGCCAACCCATCTCCATGGTTTTTAGTAATGACCATGAAGAAAATTAGTAATGACAATGAAGAAAATTAGTAATTTCCAATGAAAATTTGTAATAGTGCACTCATTTTCAAATTACTAAATTATTATTACAACGAACAATGCCTCTACTCATGTACGGTATTATTATTATTGTGGGCAAGGCTAACTCGCGCAAAGTGGGCCAGCTGTTCTTTTTTTTAGGGGGGGAGGGCGGTTGATTTAGAGATTGGCGTTTTTCCGACTATTGCGGACGATTTACGGGTCTGCACTTGAAAAATAAAAAGAGAGCCAAAAATCTGCTGACTGTTAAAAATTGAAATAAATCGCCTTACGATTGGAATTTCGGAGAGAGGCTAAAAAATCGTAATGAATATGAAAAAAACCGGAATGGTTGGCAGCGGTGGTGAATCCTGAGCGATGCAGATAGTCAGTGTAGGGTGGGGGTGAAATCTCACGACTGCCCGTGAGAGTGCTCGAGTAGCGAGCCCCTGCGAAAACTTTCCAGGGTAACCAGAAGCCACAGGTGTGAAATTAGATTGACCAATGCCTGCGCCCTGATCGTACGGCCAGCCGAGAAAAGAGTTCCTCGAATCATTGTTACAATGATGGCAGTGAGGGGTGGAAGCAAAGGAGATGTTCAAACGTTTCTATTTTTAATAGGTCAATGTGCTATGAAAGGGCAAGCACTGGTGGAAATTGGACAAGTACGACAAACGCATGTCAGATGTCATTATCAGACAGGATAGCAATAGCAGTTGAGTTGAGAGGTGCGAAGTTTTGACCACCGAAGTGTATACAGACCCGGTAACCGGGAACAAAGTCACGAAGTATACAGACCTGGTAGGGGAAATCTTTTGTGATTTCGGAAAGTTTCAGC